TGCTGCTTATATTAGTGAATGCACCAGGCACGTGATACAGCCAAGTGAGCACTGCTGTAGAAGTCTTCACATTATAGTTTTCTAAGCTTGATCCTCCATGCACTTAAATAGATTTTACATAGTACTCCTCAGACACCCCAGCAGCTGCTTCAGGTTTTCACCAGTTTAAGAAGATTAGGACTGGGCCCAACAGCTTGTGCGCCTTCCAACAGCCTACGTGGTGCAGGCACTTTTACCTCAGTGAGCTCATATGTGTGTTTCCAGAGGACAAAGGGTAGGACTGGGATCCACAACTGGGATGTGTGTAAAACTGATGGCTAACTGGGCACTGACTTAAATGGGCAAGCAAACTCAGATGAAACCAGGCAAAACTGGTTTAGGATCTGGTTGTGATGCACATGCCAGCAAGTGGCATTTGGTCCTTTTGGCAGTTCCAGAGACCATGTACAGAGGACGGTTTGGTCAAAAAAGTTGTATTAAAACCAGAACCTTAATGCCACTTATCTTGATCTTCTGTGGGGTTAAGGCTGCTCCTGCCACACACAGCCTCCGAGCTCTTATCCTCCTCCTTTCCTGTTACTGAAACAGCCTAAACATCATGTTTTAGTTATAAAGTGAGTTTAGTGGATGGAAGGGTGGGAGGGGAAGGGGGATTAAATTTACTGCTTCAGTGACTGCAGATCTGAAATAAATCTCTGATTCAATGATAGATCAATAACACCAAGATTGGGTTTAAATTATTAATAAACTATGAGAAACGAGGATAATTATTCTATGAGTCACAGCTCTCTAATGTACTGCACATTTTTTCCCTGAGACATCTGCATTGAAGCACACTCTGACTATCTTTTGGCAGAAAGCTGTAGCCAAGAAGTTAATGCTTTTTATTTTGCTAGCTAAGCATTTCATAAACCCTCACTGGCTGAGAGAGCCTAGTGACAACATTGTGCTTCTCTCACAGAGAAACCCTTAGACCAGGATCCCCTAAAACAGTTAGATATCTAATGTGCCCTTGGTAATCAATGTGATTGATTTGAATCACATATGTGAATGGTCCAGAAAGCCCTCAGATGTCCTTTTGAACCCATATGGCTGGCGATGGAGGAGTTGTGCTACCCTAAAAGGAGATGCTGGCCTTGAAAAGTGACCTTGACCTTGGATGGCTGCAAAGGCCGGTCTTGATGGTGGCATCCTGGAGGGACAACCTCAGGACTGCAGGAGGCAGGGAGGGGAGGAATGGCTTTTGCACACTGCTGGCAGACTGCAGTGACAGCCCCATCAAAACATGTGTGAGCTTCAAGTGAAGTACATTCCCCTTCTCAGGCAAGAAGAGAAGGATCCATTATTCCAAAGAGACCTATTAAAATCAAGGGCCTGAAAACTGGAATATTACTCCGTTCTGGGTTGCAACCATCTCTCTTGACCAAGACAACCCACACTGTCACAGTATGGGCTGGAGATGCTGAGTGCTTCTGGGCATTGTCCCACTTCAGCAGGTGTCAACCCTCAGCTTCGGTGTCGATGCTTAGGGTGGTGACGGAGAGCAAGTCCAACTTCGAGGGGCAGCTCATTGCAAAATCAGCACATCCCTGCTCTTTGACAGAGCGGGCTGGGGTTGTGGGGGCTCTTGATGCTTGTCAGCTGCTGGGGTACCAGCCAAGGTGCTTTGCCTTGGCTTACCAGGAGGGTACCTTACTTAAGAGAAGAGGAACAGAACTCAGGATATTGGTAGAAAAAGGCATTTGTTCATATCAAAACTGCTTCGACTGAGTCAACTGAATGAAAAAGCTTACCTTGTATTCTTTTCTTTTTTTTTTAAATTAAATTGATGCCAAAAACCCACTTATTTTTAAACAGAAACTTAGAGTTCTGAGTACTTGAGATGTTGGACAGGGCTGCTTTAAATGAACTTACTGTCCTCTGCAAATGACTTTAGGTGACCCCACTCCGATGGGTGATACCGCATCCTGCTGCACCCTACACAGTCTGCGGGGGCACCCCTTCTTTACCACAGCACATCCAGCAGCAACTGGGGATTTCCATGCCCTCTGCCACCCTCTCATTTCACCTGAAGTTGTCTGTCAAGGTATGAAATCATTCTGAACTGTGGGAAATGGGGGGAGAGGACACCTCCTCCCAGCCCCCCCAAAGGTATATGATAACACTAAGGAAACCTTAGTATAAAATGAAGCTGTTACTTCCAGGATGGGATGCAGTTGACATGCATGGAACCTACCCAGTGATAGTTCCCCAGGCAACCCTGCAATCCTGGCATATGCTAAGAGAAACCGAATGGAGGATGGAGCTGGCCAAAGGCCCCTTGGCCAGGCTCGGTTACACTCCCTGCAGGAGTAAGAACTTGAGGCACCATGTGCTGATCAACCACACAGCAGCTGGCAGACAAATAAACTAGATCTGTATTTGTAAAAGTAAAGCGAGAGGATTTTACACCCATAGGTAACAAAGTGTGTATGACCTGAGTCACTCAAGCTCCATAGGCATAAAGGTTAAAAGTTCAAACCCGTGCTACTATGGAGAAGCCTGGACAGATACAAGGGCCTCCTACGAGGTCAGGGTGAACAACCACTGACAAACAAAGAACTCTTAGCGGGAGAGGAGGCTTTGTCCCTGTATAGGTAGATTAAGAAACAGAGCTAACGAATCTGTAATCAGGAAAGACTATCCCTGAAGCCCTATACAGCACATGGGCATTGTCAGCATACATCTTGATGTATCGGCAAAACATGACTAGGGTGTCCTTTTGATGGAAATGATGTGACCTTATGCAAACTAACTGAACACTCTGTACACGATGGGAGGGTTCCAGGGAGCTACTAACCTGAATCAAACTGTATAAATATGTGGAATTAGGAAAGGGAAAGCAGAGAAGACTGCACTGTAATTTCTGGGATCAGTCGACGGGCTGAATTTGTCTTCTCCCCATAGGGACACTTATTGGATAAGAAAAGAACTTTATCTTATGCTAAATAAGTAACTCATGCTAGCCGTTTTTAGTTATTATAGTCTGGTTGTGTATCACTCGAAGCTTGCTTTTTACAGACAGTCCCTATCACTGATACTGTTGGTGCATTTCCCTGAACAAGTCAGACAAATTGTCCTCTGATCCTGCATGAGTGTTCAGTGAAGGGTCCCTATAATGGGACCCTGACAGACTGGTTGGGCACAAGGATCTTAGCTTCCCTGGGGGCCTGATGGAGCAAACAGTATGGGCTGTGAAAATCTCCTCCCCCCACACCCGTTTCGCAGGACACTGAACCTACACCATGGAGCAATCAAGGTGTCCAGCTGCTTCTATCTGTGTAAGGCAGGGAGAAATTTTTGATTGCCCTATGATATTCAGAAATAATAATGATAAAACCAAGATGCTGAACAAACTGTGGTTGGAGCCCGGCTTGATCTGGTTCAAGGGAAGGAGTGAAGGGCTTTTGATTTATTTTTTTTTAATTTATTTGCATTATTAATCCAACAAGGCCTTTACACATCACTGCTTTTTTATTAGTTACCTATGAATTATAAAGGATTCTGGGCACAGCACACACAAATTAATGTATTCATGGATGGAAACTTTTGAGGAGTAGGGGGAGCAGTGATGCTCTGGTGCTTCCATCATGTGTTTGCTCTCCCAGCTCTGCTGAGGTAGTGAAACACCATCATCATCACCTTACATGTGAGGAGCAGAGCCTAGTAAAAGCCCATGTGCAGGTTAAGTGGGACAGGTAGCGAACCCAAAGTCATGGACGCCCCTGTTGCTGGGACCAGGAGGTTGGTGGGTGACTTAGGTTGCTCCACAGGTCAAGCTGGTGTTTGCTCAAGGACAGAATGTGCTCAGACCAAGCAACCTGCCTGACCATGAGGGGCCTGGGTGCAGCCCCAGCGATGCATGGGCAGATGGCTGCACCTCAAATCATGGCTGGTCCCTGAAGGACAGCTCTGTGAGGAGCTGGGCTGTTGGGTTTCCTCCAGTTCCCACTGCAGCAGCTCTGCATCTCAAGGGAAGGCACAAACCTCTCAGATGGGTTGGAAATTCTTGTTTTTCCTGAATTTATGCAGTGATTTTCTGTTAGCCTGGAAACAATAAGGCCAATTCCCCTTGATACCACAACAGAGGTTTTACCTCAGACCATAACGCTTTGGGGAAGAAATAAAGCCTGCACTCTTTCAGGCTGCAAGTTATGAATTTATAACCCTATCATGAAGAAAAACCTTTCTGCATGTTCATGTAGCAATACAACAGCCTTCTCTTAAGCAGCTGCTTATATCCATTTCCCTTAGTGCCAAGCGTGTTACCTGTGATAACATCTTTAAGGCAAAAGCCAAAACAACCTTCAAATATTCATATTTGGAATGCTATCAATGAACCGAGTGCCACTCAAAGTACACTGCAGAAGAACTTGGCCTTTATTCATCTCTTGAGCAAGTGTGTCTTCTCTTGAGCAAATTCTCTTCTCTTTTCTCCCCATCTTTCTGTAAGGAAGACCAGGTATTGTTTAACATTTGTATCGGACAGCTGAAAGGAGTGAGCTATGTCCCCGGACCATGTAGATCCACATTGCTGCAGCAGCATTGGTAGTGTGAAAGGGGGTATTAGACTGATTTACTGTGACCTGGGAATCAGACCTCCCTTTCCCCTACAGCTGGAACAGCAGCCTGCAGAATAAAAATCATACATCGCAGCAGCCTCTAAAGATGCTGCATCTGACTAACAGCAACAGAAAATAATAAAAATGCCCTCTGCAGAGGCCAGCAGCATCTCTTTTAATGTAGAAAATGTTGAGGGTCCCAAAGACAACCGCTTAGACAGACATTACTTCCAGTTTATTAATAGCAAGGGCACAGTGGCAGCTGACAGGCTGTGGATGTCTCAGGCATACTGTAAATCTCCAGTTGTTAGGTGTTCCTGCTGCTCGCCCACGTATGGCATAAATACAGCCTAACATGACTGAATTATATAGAAAAATGTTACCAATTACTCTCCTTACTTGGATTCCTTCGGCTTAAAGCCAGTGGGCTGCGCTGAGGGGGGATCTGAAGCTGATGCTGGAGCGGAGGACAAAGCTTTCTTTAAAAAATAATAATAAGAAAGATCCTCTTTTTGCGCAGAACAGTAGGATTTTTCCCTTGCCCTAAGATTTCTTGCCATTTCATTATTTTGTATTTCAGATAAAGCCTTCCCACTTTAACGAGGAACATTTTTCCCCATCGGTTTTAATGGTATAATAAATTGCGTGCAAGCAAAGAAAAAGCTCCCAAAAAAAAGGATCCGTAAAAAAGTTGCAGGAGACCGAGGCAGGCTTTGCAGGCGGAGAGACAAGAGTTACAAGCTAATTTACTTTGCTATTCTGTTCAGGTTTCATCTGTAAGCAGCCTGGGTCTCCTGCCTTTACTGGCTCTTTGGGAGGCCATATTCCCATGGGTGTTTCACCTTCTCTGCTCATGCTGGTGCAGCTGCACAGGGGCAATGGAGGGTAGCGAACTGAGGCTGCCCCTCTGTGGGAAGGTCATGATGCTACAAGAACAGGGAGGACACTGGTAATTTTTGCCTGAACACCTCATACAGGCAGTTAGAATCATAGAATCATAGTTGAAGTGCCCTGAGTGGTTTGCTGTCAGAGCAGAACCCTTCTCCTCCAGGTTTGCATTAATTCAGTAGCCACAGGCTGCATGTTTCCCTCTGCATGCAGAGCACAGCAGACCTGGGGGCTGTTACAGCCCCCATCTCCTAGGTTAATTGTACATATCAACTCAGCTGAAATGCTCTATCAAATAATGCACTTATGTAGCCTACCTTAGTGCCTACATCCCAAGAGGTGTTATTTCCAAGAGTTCAGAGAGGACACAGGGAGAGATTTAGGGCAGGCATATGTAGAAGGTGGTGGGAGAGAGGAAAGGCATCTGTGGGCATGTAGAGGTCTAGGGAAAGAGGGTGGACATGGAGACATTTGGGGAGGCAGTAGGGTTGCAAAGGAGATGAGGGGAAAGAAAATGTAGAAGAGTAGGAGGCAAGGAAAATAGAAGAGGCATGGCTGTGACAGGGAGCAGGGAGCCAGAGAAAACATTGAAATGAAGGTTACTGCTCAGATTGCATGAACCAATCTTACGAAAGACAAAACACTATGAAAAGAGATTGCAAAAGGCCAGAGAGGGCCCGTGAATCACTGTAGTGTACAAATTCTTGAAGATGTATTAACTGTTTACTCTAGGCTCCTGAAGAGGCATTCCCATATTTGATTTTCCTTGGTAAATCTACTTGTGTCTAAATACTAGCCCTCTACTAAAACAGGCTGAAAGAAACTTCATGTTTCATCTGAATTTTAAATTGCAATGTGGAAATCAAACAAGCTGTCCGGGATAACGCTGAGACAGGTTTCTGCATGCATTTGCTTCCAGTCACTTGTAGCTGTTTCAGATGCTCAGCCTCTTGCCAGGGCATATTTGTCCTCAAGGATGCAGCTCACATGTATGCCTGCTAAGAATACTTGATTTCCAAGTGGAAAGCTCTTAAAAATAAATCTTACATGTGCAAAAGAGTCGATTTTCCTCATTCTTTGGAGCTGGCAAATTTGCATTGAGAAAAATGCAAAAGTGAGCAGAAAACATTTCTGATGGCCAGTCCCAAGGAGGACCAATGCATGAATTCTCTAGGAAACAGGTAACTCTTTACTTCAGGGATCAGCCTGGTTCTTTCACACTGGCTGTGCATTTCTTGCTGTGCCAAGGTGGGCTATGCTGGGGGCTCTGCTGTGTCAGGTGGAATGCGTGCTCACAGCATGATCAAAGAAGAAATAGGGAAAAAGTCCAATCTTTCCTCTGGAAGCCTGATTTCTACTTAGGAGAGAGACAAGTTGTCCGTCTTGGGACCCAGTCTGAAATCCAATCTCTGTTGCAGAAAGCCAGACTCTCCCTATGCAGAGAAACAGCTACTGTTCCCCATGACTGCTGTGTGATCCCTTTCTAATGGCTTTTGATGGGTCCACTTGTCCCTTCCTCACCCACTCAGGGGGATGGCTGTGACCCTGTCCTCCATACAGCCACAAATCACATCCTGGCTTGCAAACAGAGGAGATGGGCTATGTCACCACAGGAAGCCAGAAATAAAATAAAACAAATTCTTGCCATCCTTAAAAAAGTCATCCCCCCACAACATGATTTAGAGGGTTTTCCTCTCCATGGATTAACTACATTTTTGTCCCTCCTATCTGCCTCCTGTATTACTTACTGAGCTATAAAATATTGTTAAAAGCAGGTTGTATATAAATATATATATATAAAATGTAAACATATCTTGAGATATTTAATAAGAGACATAATCATCTAATATTAATTTGCTGGCATTTACACGACCAGAGCAACTCGGATCCAGACAAAACTAAATCTTTGCACTCTGAACACCTCAGAAAGTCAGAAATGCTGCCTAAAACGGAGGGGCTGTCCAGGCTTCACTCTGCTTCTGTTTAAATTACCGGTAAAATCCCATTTTTTCTAAACCAGCACCTTGCATTTGTGCTGAGCTCTCTCCATGGTTGGGATTCAGGCCTGGTGCTCCTTGAAACTCACTATTTTTGCCCAAAACATGGTACAAAACAGCCCAGCTGCCCACAGGACTGCAGCACTTGCTGGCAGGCAGGGAAGGGCAGGCACATGCTTTTCCTCAAAATCCATCACCATTTTAGGTGCCCAGGCATGGCACTCGTATGTAACCATATGCAAACAGAAATGTGTAGAAGAGATCAAGTACAGGCATCTTATTGTCTCCCCTTCCCTCTAATAGATTGCTGAAAAATACCTGCTAGCAGCTTATTTTTCTTTGAAAAGTCTCCATAGGTCTTCCAGGAGACTTCTTCCCTCTGTTCTGCAGAGAAAGACGAGGAGGCTCCTTCAGACTCTGCATCCCAGACAACCTCTGTGCTGGTTTTCCTAGCTGACTCTTTGTTCAAGCATGCAAGATTAGTCTGCTTAATGTAATCTTGTATTCTCTGCTTAGTGAAGGCCTCTTTAGAAGCAGTGTACTCCGTTTCCAGCCTTTTCATATTTTTCACTGTGAGAACAGAGCTGGAATCTGATGACCCAGTCCCATGGGGAAATATTTTTGGCTGGTACTGGTTACCGCCAGACCATGACAGCTTGCGTCCATTAAACATATCTGCAATGCATTAAGGAGATGAGAATCTTCAGCAACAGGCAAAGTCAATTCCTTGTTCTGGTAACAAAGAAAGAAAGGAAAATCCCATTAGTCATTTACTCCTGACGGGCATATTGATTGATGTAGTTAAAATGTTCACACTAACATAACCTTATTAGATTGAAAATCACTTTCTTTTCAAGAGGATCTACTAGGCTTCAATTCAACAAAGCACTTAAACAAATACCTGGTATCAAAGGCATACCCAAGTCCCATTGGTGAGATTTTCTTAAATAGGTTCCACCTAACACTTAAATGCCAAAGCTTAAAATAGCGACAAAGGACAGCATAATGCCTGTTTGTGTTCAGATAGGCCCAAAGTTGAGCAACCAAATACCTTACATTGTAACACCCAATAGTCCCTCTTCTCCACTAAGGCTGTCTGAAGATTGCATCAGTGATTTCGTTATTAACCCAGTTTACTTTGGCTATAAAATGCTGTACAGCTGAAACTTACTGTATGCAGGCTGAAACAAGCACTTTATATTCATTTCTAGTACTCAGACAAATTATTTTGGACATTTTATGCTACATGCTGATGAGGAGAAAAATAAAAATGTACAGTGGAATCTGTCTAATTGGACCTGCTGGTGTCCATCTGACCATGTCAATTAAATAAAGACAAACAAAGAGGAGCTCTCAAAGGACTCGCAGTGAATAAACCCAGGGTAAATACCGCATGTTTTTTCTTATTGCATTATTCTGTATAGTGGTGTGTCTGAAACATAAACTAGCCATAAAAAGCAGCTCGCCCTCCTGTTTGCAATATCTAGTTAATTGTGTCTGTATCTTCCCTTCATCCACTCAGCCTGTTTAATGTCAAAAGAGAAAGGAGGGAAAAGTAATAAGGTTAGTTTGACAGAACTAGAGCTTCACAACCTCCTCTTCCCCTGTGCACCTCTGCCTGCCAATTCCCATTGGGCTTGATGCTCCTCTGCTCTGACCACAGAGACAGCTCTTCACAGGTGTTTTACCGATGCAGGAGGCCCAAAACCTTTCAGTGCTCTGGTTGCCAGCTTTGGGGCACCCATGGATCACCTCCAGTCTATGTAGTTGTCTCTGTCCACACAGTCAGAGTGGTGTCTGCCAGCTGTCAGAGTCATGGACATGCACACAAGTGAGCACCACAGATGAGCAGGGGACCACTCCATGGGACATGCTCCTCACCCCTTGGATGGGCTTCCCCAGTGCTACAATTTCTGAGTAGCAAAAAACCAAGCAGGAGCAGCACAGCACCATCCATGGTGAAGATGCTGACAAGGTGAGGACCCAGCCAGCACTGTTTCTGTGGTACTCTGGCAATGGTCATCTCTTTTGACTTGTTGTGTACTAAGCACCATAGGTCTGAGACAAGGTGGCTAGTGAGTTTTAATCCACAAGTCTGACCTAGTTTATTTTCTTAATACAAGTGCCTGACAGCATGAACTCAAATGCTACAGAGAAGCACATGTATAGGGTATCAATACCTCTCTCTGTCAATCAAACTTCTACATCTCATTAAAAGAAATCACTGAGCTGGTCTGGTAAAAGCCATATTCCCTAACTCTGTGTTAATTCACATTAAGGACTATCTTTAATTCTTGTCTTATGCTTTTCTCAGGGTAAGTTTTTTCAGTTCTCTGGAACTTTTCTTTTGACCCAGGACTTGTGAAAACCAATACCAATGATCTGGAGAGATCCTAAAGGTTTCTCTTTTACTACTCTTTGGTCTGGGCTAGCTATCTGCATCTGATTTTAAAGCACTTAGCTTTACCAGTCGCAGTCTAACACTGCATCTTTTGTTGCTGGGGCAGAAAGTATCTCATTATCATGTAATCTAATTGTGTTGCTTGATTATTATCTCTGTGGAGAACTAGCTTTGGAAAAGTTTGTCATTTCTGCCTTTCATGAACAATTCTGTCATTTCTCTTGTAACAAATTAATGTTAAGATTCCTTTGCTTCTTCATCATACTTTGAATGACATACTTTGAATGACACCACCATACTTCAATGAAATCTCTGATGTCATTAACTCTACTCATGGTTGTACTGCTGTCCTTTTGCAAAATCAGGTCAGCTAGATCATGTGCATTGAGGCTTTGTCTGGTCAGATTTTAAATCTCTCCACAGACTGAGATCCTACAGCATTTAACAACCCTCATGCTGAAAATAGTTTTGTTAATATTTAATTGGTACTTCCCATACTCCAGTATGTGTCAGTTGCTCCTTATCCCCGTGTAGTGCAGCTCCGAGAAGAGTCTCAGCCTCTCATTTGTCAGCTACAGGCAGCAATGAGATGTATGTGAGCATTTTCTCCTCCAGGCTGAAGAGTCCTGGCTTTCTCAGCCTCCTCTTATGCATATAGACTCCAATCTCTACATGTCTTGATGACGCTTTGCTCCAGTACACCCATGTATCTCATAATGGGGTGCCCCAAAATAGACACGTCACTGCAGATGTGCCTCAGCAGTGCTAAACAAAGTGTAATAATCATATCCCTCCCGCTTGGGTTTGGAAGTCAAGTCTCACCCAGAAGTTTTGGTCACTGCTTCCTCTAATCAAGGGCTGCATTCATCTCCCCGCTTTGAAGTCTTGTAACTGTAATTTGCTTTGGATCACAACACATGGATATAGGCAAGCTCAGAGACTGCTCTGGGTCAAGTCAGTGCCATTTTCACAACATCTGCATGTCGGGGGCCGTCCTGGCCCCCCGTCTGTGCCTGGGACTTCTCTTCATCTCTGCATGTCTCCTTCATGCTGCATTTCACCTAGGTAAGTCGCCGTGCACCATCACTGCTTAAAACTGGCTGCTACCCTTGAACTTTTAATAAATGTTTGAAGGACCTTTTATGGTGTATTCTGAATAAGGCTTTTGAAAACTTTTCTCTTGCAAAAATAAGGGATTTGAATTAATAAAAGCACGACTGAAATGAGCACTTTTCAAACCCAGCAGAAGCATGCGAGTTGTGAACATGCAGGCTTAGCTCACCTGCCTGGTTCTGTGCAACAGCAGCACCAGTGCCTAGGGCAAGAACTCATCCTTAATGTACAACTTGTCTAGGTTGCCTGATCACCCTTCCTATCCTTGACTTACCACTTCTCTTCCTGTAGTGGAGAGTTATTTCAAACAGACCTTTCCAGGCCAAGTTGAACGGGGCTTTGAGCAACCTGGTGTAGTGGGAGGTGTGTGTCTCTGCCTGTGGCAGGTGGGTTGGAACTTGATGAACTTTAAGGTCCGTTCCAACTCACATCATTCTGTGATTCTCCCTGTGCCACTCTACACAAAACCACATAGCTGACCTTACAGAAATCATGTATCAGGTGGGTAAAGCCTTCAGGACACACAGCTTCTGGCTCTGTGCTTGTACCTTGCCTTCCAGGCTGAGCCATCATGCTCATCAGGACAGTCCTACTGAGCAATATGAATGACAGTAGCTTTTATAGGACCTTCTCTTGGCACTGAATACATCAAGACTACACAAGTCCTGGATGAGCAGTTTCCCCACAGTCTGAAATGCAGTGCTTGAATGTTCATGTTGAACTTTTCCAGGAAAATGAAGAGGATCAGATGAAGTGTTTTACTGAATTCTAAATATGGGGATTTTTTTTGCTTGCATGATTGCTTTCATCAAAAGAATACTCAAAACAAAAAACTTGTGGCAAATTAGAGGGATGAAATGCCACTTTGAAAGTGCCAGAATTAAAGATTTTTGCTTTGGAAGTGTGCCTCCCCCTCTCCATCATGAGCCATTCTGGGATTTTGATATCCAAGCATCACATTTGTCACTTGGCCTGATACATATTCCATCACAAAGCCCAATCTTTTTTCTGCAAAATGCAAATAAACATTTTGCTAATCTGGCCAGATAGGATTGCCACACAAAGAAGAGTGCTCTTGCTTTTGTAAGCTGGGGAGTAGTATTAAATAGAAAAATCAGTCACATCAAAATGACAGGCTTAAAAATCTAACAGATAATGGTAAGCAGCCCATTACAATGTTACAGGAGATTGTCCACTAAGTATTCACAAACACATCTGTAGCACAATGGCACATCTTCTCCAAAGCCATATCTGGCCCTGACATCAGAGCTCCCCATAAAAAGCAAGTGCATTCAAAGCAACATTTATTGGCTATTTCATCTGAAGCTTCACTTTCTCTGTAGCTCTTCTGTTCTCATAATAATATGCTGAAATCTACTCAGAATATTTTAATCTTATAGAAATAAAACACAGCTGAAGTAGTTGGAAGGCGAAGGGTTCATGAGGCAATTTCCTCTGATTCATTGGGAGACAAAGATAGAGCAATGACTGTGTTTGTGTTAATAACAGTGGAATTGCCGTTACCTCCATATTTCTTTGGCTGTTGCTGTCATGTCCCATCTCATAACCCCCCTGCTCTCAGCCATGGCCAGGGTGGATGTGTCCATGGGAGGTCATAGCAGGACCTTCTGTCGTCTCCATTCTGGGGCACTGCCCTGAGCTCAATGATGCTCTCTAACTGAGATGCCTGGCCCCATTTGGGTATTTCCATCACAGCTGCCAGCTTCACTATCGAAACCTCATTTTCCCTACTCTGAGCAATCCCATCATCCCCCATTAAAAATCAATCTGAATTCACCATTTCTATGACCATGGCCCTTGGGTTGGAACACCTGCTGGGTGCAAGGAATCCCAGGAAAACATTGTGAAGCTGAGAGCTACTTGTGGGACCCAGTATCCCAGGCAGCTCCAATGGGTGCTGCAAACACATGGCTAGAGGTGACACCTTCCCATGGGATCATCCCAGGGGAAATGTTATTGTTTGCACAGCTTTGGCTCCCCAGGCAGCAGCAAAAGGCAGAGAGTGCAGTGCCATCAAATGAGGATTAAACTCCATGCTGTACCACAAAATGTCAGGGAAATTAATTCCAGTCATAGGCTGCTTGTACATATCCCAAAAGGTAGAGGAGTGCTATGTACACAAGGTTAGAGAGACTTTCATACATAGACATTGCAGGGGAATTTCCACAGCACAGTGGGTCTGGTGGGAAAACTATGTAAATGTGAGTTTAGTCAGCCTCTGCTTTCCTTTGCTGTCTTCAAGATATTTGTGCTTGTAGGGGGTATCTTTTCCTCTAAGCAATGCCTGTTTGATCCTACAGGAATGATAATGTCTGGCTCTATAGCCCAATGCAACAAACGGCATCTGACGGTGCCTCTGCTTTGTCTATCTTTATGACTTTGTGGTAGGACTTTACAATGTAATAGCTGATCTCAGGCGCTGCCAGACCCACAGCCCAGGAGGGACTGTGGGCCCCACTGAAGGGACTCTGTTGCTGCAGTCTCCCTGTTTTGTTGGAGCAAAGGGGCTTGCTGGCACAATTAGTGCTGTTGATGTGCAGAGCTACAGCTTAATAACACTCACCAAGGGCACGCTGTGGTTGTGGGAGTCTACACTTCCTTCAGTGTTAAAGAAGCAGCTGTATGTGTGTGTATATGCATCTATTTACAGATCCAAGGAGAGCAGCTGACTACGTTCCTAATAGTGTGCACACACGCCTATTATTATTATGCACATATACTTTTAATATGTAATATAATACAATGTAATATTACATATATATAAACATTTATAGCCTTTAATTGCAGAATGAGGCCATTAAAAGCAAGCAAATTTTTTCACCTATTTCTGCCGTTGCAGTTGTGTCCAGACTAGATCTCCAGATTCCAAGTTATAACCACTAGTTTTGTATATAGAACAGTCTCCTAAAATAACTATTTGTGCACTTTGTACTTTCAAAGACATTTGGAAAGCAATTGCTTGCCGTAAATCACACAGAAGACTCTTGAGTGGTCTCCTGTTGTGCAGCCCTTACGCCTTATTACATCCTACCATTCCTGTAAGAAGTGGCAGAGCCAGTAATACTCATCTCAGCAGTGTATTTCAGTTGGAAGTGCTGCATTAAAAAGTCTGGATCTCACCATAGTGGTGACATCGGCTCCAACCAAGGGGCTGCTTACCTCTCTGTAACCCGCAGTGGCCATTAACAGACTTATAGGAAATAAATATACGGCATATATGCGATGATCTAGGTCCTGGTGAATTCACTCAGCCTCAAGGTTATAAAGACCGTGCTACTTCTGCAGGTGCAGGGGTGAGATTCTTCTGCTTGCAGCCACTAACGCTCAAATTAAGAGTTTTAAACATTTATTCTGTTAAATCAGTAACTTCTACTATTCCTTTGCATTTGTAATATAGAGGCATAAACAGCTTAGGAGGGGCATGCAGAATCATACTCCCAGCCTCTACCGCTGGGATTTTAAAATAAACCTGATTTTAGCAGGTGCCGTTTCCTGGGCCACAGAGCATACAGCACTCATGCTGTACACACAGCTGAGGAGCTACAGTGCATGAATATGCTTCAGAAAGCCTGGCTCTTCAACAGGATAGCAATTACACGACACAGTAAAATGAAGCAGCTCCAGCTGTAAATCATGGTTATTAGTGTATGTTCTGGGATTTGTGTCATGAGAGACAAGTACTAAACTGAAGTTAGATTGTCTGAAAGCACAGAAATCCCTGATTAACACTGCCAGTGCTTCCAGCTCTTTCAAGCTCTGGAAGGCAAAAAGACTCATCTGACAGTGCCGACAGAGATTTACTGGGTTTGGCTCAGGGTAACAAAACTGAAGTTACTGCTGTTGTGGCTTTGATTTCTAACACTGCAGCAAACTGCAGGTAGAAACATTCTGTGCTCATTTCGGCACACAGGACCTGATCCTCTCAACCCCCCCTCTGCTGTCTTTCAGCAGCAGAGTCCCTGCTGCTTCACATTGCACAGAAAGAAGCCCATGCACTGCTGCCTTTCACCCTGCCCTCTGCAGAAGTCAAACGTTTTAGTAGAGATCAAAATAGCACTTCTTACAGGTGGCAAATAATGCATAAGTGATCCTTTAGCCCCTAAACACAGAGCTAAAGGTAGTAGTCAGGATGCATCCAATGAAACACCAGTGGTGTAAATTTGCAGCAATACTGAGTAAATAAAGTTACTGCAGGCTTGGAGCAGAATAAATCACAAAACCGCAGGCAGTTGTGCTGAGAAAGAGCTGAGAAGCTCTTTGATGTCTCCTCCTTCCCTTGGCAGAACAAACTGCAGTTACGCTGTCCAACTGAGCCTCTTCTTTATGCTATGCTTTCTAAAGTGTGCAACTAGATACATAAACGTTGTGGAAAGTCTCAGGAAATGACACATATATTCATGAAACTGCCTAGTAAACTACAAATTCTGAAGTAGAAATTTACGAAGGTGTAATTTGATAAAAATAATGAAAAGGGATAAATGAATATGAACATTGTTTATGAAGAGAAAACAGAGACTGGGAAAGAAGCCAAGAGCCAGTGGTGTCAGCACTGACCCTGTTGAGGCACAATCCTACCAAATTCCCTGAAATCCATTTGTCCACATGCTATCCATTGGTACTTTGGCAAGAGGCAGCCTGCAAGGCTGCGATGTCCCCAGATGCCATTTGTAGGGTCTGTCAGACTGAGGGTCGGGACGGGGAAGAGGAGGCACTGACTCAGCTCTCACCAGGACTCAGCAGATTTTGGAGAAAATATCTATCTTCTTTTTAATTTTTAATTCCTTTTTTTTTAGTTAAGGTATCACAGAATTATCACAGAATGGTTTGGGTTGGAAGGGACCTGAAAGATCATCCAGCTCCACCTGTCTGCCACAGGCAGGGACACCTTCCAGTACACCAGGTTGCCCAAAGCCCTGTCCAATCTGCCCCATCTAGGATGGGGCAGCCACAGCTTCTCTGGGGAACCTGTTCCTGTGCCTCAACACTCTCACAGTAAAGACCTTCTTAATGTCTAATCTAAATCTCCCCTCTCTCAGTTTAAAGCTATTTTTCAGTTTAGCGCCATTCCCCCTTGTCCTGTCTCTACATGCCCTGGTATGTCATACTGTGGTCTGGCTAGCAGCTTCTCCCACATTTCAAGGAAGTCTGACTTAAGGGAGGTCTGGGGAGGTCAGCCCTGTATCTCCCCCCTTCCCAGCACTCACCCTTGTGTTTCCACCACTGCCTGCTGCCAGGAAGGGGACAGCCCTTGGGGCACCCTGAAACTTCCTCCTTCTCCCTCCATAACCCCCTTAATGTGCCAAGGTTTTTCATGCAGGAGTTTGCTTTTCATCTCACAGGTGAAAGGGAAAACAGGAAAGGAAAAGCAACAAGTAAACATGAGGGTAAATGGTAACGCATCGTCTGACACTCACAGCAGGGCCACAGAAAAGCTTCCTCTCTGTAAAACCCTGGACATCGCAGGCATTCCAGGACAGGCTTACCTCTCTGGGCAGGAGAATCCAGGAGAGCAGGAGAGGACCCTTTTACGAGGGGCAGACAGAGACCTGCTGCCAGGGAGGTGCCTAGGACACCCTCTTGGTCCTCAGTGGCCCTGAGTGTTGGTGGAACGTTTCCCCTTCCTGTTCCATTGTCACATTGTCCTCCTTTTAGGGCCAGCTGCTGATGTCATGGTTCCCAGGCTGTAACAATAGGGAAGGCAGGGAGATGGGTGCTGCTGCCAGCTTGCCATCCTTCCTGGAAATTTCAGCAGGGCTGTGGGAGCCTGGTGCAGGACTGGGGGATGGAGGGAGCAGGGACTTGCTGTGGTGGAGGATGTGCAAGGCAAAGTCCAGAGAAGTCAGGACTGCCTGGCTTGCTGGGAGTGGAATGCTGACCTGAGAGCTCATCACAGGGAAGGATTGGTACTGCAGTACCTGAGGCATCTTGCCCAGGCAAGCCCTGAGAGGAGACAGGAGAATTTCCTTTCTGTGTTTCCCCTCAGGGAGATCCTGGTTCTCTCATGCTTGGACCCATCCATCTTCATGGTGGGCAGTTTCTACTCAAGGGCTCCCTTGCTGTTGTTTTTTTGCTGTGAGCTGCACCCTGAACCTTCTCTGGCATGAGCTGTCCCCACGATCCCCAGCACACCATCATGCTCACTCCACGAGGCTGCCAGAGTGAATTAGTGACCCCGCTGTCTTCAAAAAGGGCTCTCCAGCTTGGTGGGTTTAGGCCTTTTATATATATACCTTTTTACCCTCCATCCAGGGGCGAAATTAGGTTGCTTCTTATTCTGGCAGCTGAGTATCTGAGCTGAAAGGCCTTGGGATCCTACGGAAGTTGCAAATGCCAATGACTCAGGCAAAACCTGCCTTTTCCTTTCATTCAGAGATTTCTTGGAAGGAAACCAGGTTTAAAGTGAGTGCTTGTTTAAGTACAGCTGTGCGATGTACCGGTGTCATCTGGAAGTCATGACTGCATCTCTGCTGCCTCCAGCTGTGTTCTACTCTTTGCAACCAGTTCTTTTGAACCCTTCCATCAGATTCTGCAGCATATTTTGCACACTGGTGACTGTGCTCATGGTGGGGCTGGGGTATGACCTTACAAAATACATGAAGAGGAATTCACCTTGTGCTCAGTGGTGGTGTCTTGGTGTTGGTTTTTGTTTTAAGGGAACAAATGACAACAGGTGAAGCAAAAAACCCCATGACCAGGTCAGCAGCTGTTGCTGCAGAGTGCTTTACATGCCCTTCAGCTCCATGATGCAGCCTGGTTTTCCTCCTTTGCAGGGCCAGCGGTAAAAACTGAACCAAAATGTCAGTGAGTTTGACCTCTGCATGTAGTCTGAGAAATCACAGTTGATAAGTTGGTGGCTGGAGGGCTGGTGGGGCTGGTGGAGCTTTCCTCCTCCTGGCTCCTGCTGTACAGGGCAAGGAGAAAGTACCACACGGTGGTCAAAGATGATGTCTGGAGCCAGAGGCAATGCTCACCTCCTCTTCTGGACAGCCATGGTTTTGATTTTCACCCTGTGACCCCAGAACTTCCCTAAGGGCATTCAGCTGTAGAAGTTTCTCATGGAATGGTGCTATCAGGTGGTGGCTGAGGCTTGTCTTCCTGTTGAAAAACAATGAGTGTTTTTGTGGAGGCAGGGGGCATTCTCTAATACACAGTAATTTAAATCAAAATCATGTATTGTACAGTACAAACCTCTAATATACTATAGATTTTATAATTGACTCAAATTTCTCACTAAGAAAAAGTCAATTCCTGCATGGCAGGGCAGCCAGAGGAAAGAATGCTTTAGTCTGCTCAGCAGACAGGGACCTATTTTTAATCCTAAGGCCCTCTGTTAGTTCTTACCTATTTAATGTAAAGAGAGGATTTACTACACATACAACTTAATCCCCTTTTTATATTTGCATAGAGATCTCAGAGTGTGTGTATGAACAGTGTTTGAGATAAGAGAAGGAAGGCCTCAGGAGTCAAAGTCATTATTTTTGCATGAAGTATTTAATGCTAAACATAAATATTGAGAGGACTGAATTCCCATGCACTTACAGACTTCACTCTCATGCTCCTGAGGTTTTTTGCTTTACATCCAGTTATTAAAAGCCTGTTGTAAGTGAATGAAAAAATTTTACAGGAAGCCTTTATTGCAAAGACACTGAGCAGGCTTCATTTTGCAGTTGAAAGGAGAGACAGGTTGTAGACAAAACAGAAACAAAGGTAGTATGCTTCTCACCTCCCCCAAAAGAGCATGGAGAAGCTTTGTCAGGCAGTGGAAACCCGGCCCTAGAAAAGGACTTTCTCCAGTGATGACCTCTAAGGGGATTGAAGGTGGAGTTCCTGTGGTGCACATTCATCAACCCCGCTCATTGTAATTCGCATGATTTACATCCTCACAATCATGATTAGGTGGTGAAAAAAAACATCTACATGAGGGTTGACTTCAAAAAGCGACATTCTTTGTCCAAATCCAATCAAGCCCCGCAGCAGGCAGTCCTTTTGATTTAGCATTAATTTTAATATGTGTGGCCCTGAAAATAACCTCCTGGCTTTGGAAACCTTGGAGAAAAGACTGTTGGGTAAGTGCTGGGCAGAATATTATGTCTGAGAGCTGTCATTCCTTCCTCCAGAGGCAGTTTTTCTGGCATGAAGGATGAGATACTGCACTGATGTGAAATTGATTTAAAAAATATAGTAAAGGCAAGTTGGTGGGGAAGTTTACTTTTCCAGAAGTTAAAAGGGGTCCAGAAACTCCACCAGAATGGCTCATGGAGCTGTTGTGAGCTCAACAGTACAGTGCAGTGAACAGCAGACTTTTGCTTTACTGGGGGTAATGTAACTGGATTATTTTTTGCTCTTCTGCTTCCAATGGATGTAATAAGATTGGCAAGATCTATCTTTGCATATAAAATCCCTGACTCACTTCTGTTGACAGCAGGCTGGTTCTTGCCTGATGACAACTGGGCTCTTCATTGTAAATCAAAGAACAGGAATGAGAAAACATGTGTTTCAGCCTGATCTTCACTCTTAAACTGGGGCAAAACAGGAGGGTAAAACCCAGGCAGCATCTCTCCATCATATCTTTCTACACTGCCTTGCTATATCAAACTCCAAAAGCAAATCTTGACCAGCACTAATGAGCAAGGGCAGTCTGTGGTCAGTCATCCAGGCAAATGGCTTATGGGTATGGAGAAGGAGGAAATCAGAAGACATGTCTTGTTTACCTACTGCAGGTTGAGAGAATGAGTTTGAACCCAAAACTTGGTTGGGCTCCATCTGACATACAAATGAACAAGAATGCTTTTATTAGCATGCTACGTATCAAAATTAAGGAACTGTTCTCTCCTAATAATGTCTTTGAAACCATTAACCAGTCACTCTACGCCGCTGACAGCATTTTCCTACGCTCTTGAGTGGCTCTCACGCCCTACAATTTTTCTCCTGTGAACAAAACGCTGTAGCGCTGACTGCAAAGGAAGGACAGATACCTAATTATAGGTCTTGTTATTAGTAGTCTGGGAAATAAAAAGTCTGCAGTTCATATAGTGTAGAGAATGATGAAGCATCTCGAATCACTAATGTGACTTAAAGTGGGATCTATGTGGAATTTCACATTTCCCTCCCCATTAAATCCACGTGAAAGCCTGTTTGCAGCAAGATTTGGGAGGCTTTCTGTTCTTTTCCGTGATTTCTGCCAAAACTAAACTTTGAATGTTTTCCTGATGTCTTTATCCCATCAGTCTGTCAGTCAGGCTCATGCTGTCCTTCATGTAAACCTAACAGGGCAATCTATAATCCGGTGTGCAATAGATATCTTGAAGGAAAACAATGTTTGACAACACCTCGAAGGCTGGAGATCTTGCTGCACCCAGGCACATCCCAGCAAGTTTCTGGGACAGGTTGTCCCTTTGATGCCCTTCGTGCACACTTGTGGCTGATCACATCATCGCACGCTCGTTGTCCTCCGATGTAGCTAACATGGAATGACCTTGGGAAGGGACAGTAGGGGGGCTGTTTCCTGTCAGCACACACCTCTCTCCCTGCTAGCAGTCTGCTTTATAGCTGTGCTCAAACCAGATATATTGTTTAGATTAAAATGGGGGGGGCAAGGGGGGTGGTGTAGAGAGAGGAAAAAGAAACTGTCCAACAGTAAAGATGTAAAGTAAGGGGAAACAGGCACTTCTTTCTGTATTGCTGAAGGCTTTGTAGAGATAACAAGCCATTAAACTTTATAGCCAAAGCCTCAGGGTAGTACTGGTTTGGGGTTTTATGCTGCAGTTGCCTGCACAAGTTTTAGACTGCTTTTGACAGCTCTCCTCCCCTCCTGCACTTTCCTCCCTTCCCCCTGCCCATTTCTGTGATGTATTTGGTCCTTTGAATAAATTGCATCTATTCATTTCTTGTGGGCTTAAATCCAGTGCCTGTCTCTTAAGGACAGTCCATCAGGCTGAGTTAACCTAATTTGGTGATGGTGTAAAGCACATCTGGGTTTGTCTCTTTTCTGTGGAAGTTCCTAGAAATTTTCTGTGCTGGTACTCATTCAGTTAATGAGCACTGTGTCTTTATGGCCTGAAATACTCGACTCCAGAGTCCCTGTTATGTGACACATGGTACTCATGGAGATAAATCTTTGGATTTCTCCATGATTATAATCTGGGCAAAAATAGTCAGGAAAGGGTCATTTCTAATTCCAGACTTTCCAATTTTCAGAAGAAAAAATACAGATCCTCCAGCCCTTTTTCCTTCTCACACCCTCTCTTGGGACCATTATATCCTAAGCTAGTTCTAAACTTCAGCTGCACTGCAGAAGAGACACAGCTTATAATCAGCAAATTATGACTTGCCAGACATAGCAAAAGGTTAGAAGGATGTGGCAGCTGAACCCACCTAAATATTGGAAATCCTAGTCCTCGAAAGCTTTGTGGGAAATCCAGGGCAGTTTCTCAAAAGAGGAATAATGTGTTCTTGACATTGCTAATGAGCTGGTGGCTCTGGGATTCTGAAACAGCTGCAAATGATATAGAGTTTACCAGGAAAATCGAAGATGCGAAGAAAGCTGTAAGTAGAGAGGGAGTGACAAAATTATGTTTCAAGGATTCTGGTTCTCCTTGACATAACACGTCAAAA